CTGTGAGGGAGACGACGGTCACAAATACACACACAAACCTGTGTTTATTGCATCAGTGCAGGAGCCGCATGAAAACAGTACAAAACAGGATCAGCCCAGTGTGGAGAAGCCACAGAGAAGGAGATCAGCAAAAAGACACGACTGCTCAGAAATGGGTGACCGTCAGCGGTAAATTCACCATTTCTGATTCATTAATGACACAGAACCTGTTTACACCAGGTATTAGGATTCATGTCAGACAATCTGAGGGCGAGGACAGCACTAAAAAAGGTTTTTATAACAGTTTGTGATTGATTTAGGCTGGGTGATAGAGAAAAAAAATAGTTTTTCACCAATACTCAATATATTCTACTGTTCTGATGTTTGGGGTTTTGAAAGAAATATATTATAATAAATTGAAAAGCTTTAAATAAATTGATTTTTTTCAGCAAGGATACATTAAACTGATAAAAAAGTGAGAGTACATTAATAATGTTCTTTTTAAAATACTGTTCAGCATATCAGCATATTAGAATGACTTCTGAAGGATCATGTGACACTGAAGACTGGAGTAATGACTGCCAAAAAAAGCAGCTTTGCCATCACAGAAAAATCAAATTTTACAATAAATTAAAACAAAAAGCACTTATTTTAAATCCTAATAATATTTCACAATATTACTATATTTAATGTATTTTTAATCAAATAAATGCAGCCGTGGTGAACATAGGAAACTTATTTTACATTTAAAATATCTCACTGACCTCAAACTTTTGAACAGTATTGCACATCTTTGTTATGTAATTGCGCTAAATTATTTAATTACAAATTTCCAGATACATACAGCTTTAAAAAATGCAATCAGAAATCTTCCCCTCAAAATCCCTTCACAACCAGACACAGGAGACACATCTGAGACGCATGTTATTACCGGATGTAAACAGGCCCATAAAGCCCATATGCTTCAACAGCTGAGGCCATTTGTTTTCTAGTTTTAACTATTAATATAATAAATATATAGTTTACTATGTGACTTATGTGTCAGATCAAAAAATTAACAAATTGAAGAAACCATTTAAGCAGACAAAGAAACAGTTAGTTGCATTGGAAGCCGCAAGGCAGCAATTATTTTCCAGTTTTGCAAGGGCTGACCAGCTTTCTCAAGTGAGAAGCCAATTATGTTTTGCCTTGGCACTGCTTTATGAGGTGTTGCCATTACTAGCTAACGATGCATTTTCGAAAGTTATATTCAATAATGACATTTACACAAAGAGCAGACCGCAGTAGATATAGCAGTCCATTCCAGGCAGCGGTGAAACGATGCATCAAATCTCAATTGGAGCGCTCAGTATAGTATATAAAGGGTCGTTCACACATATAGAGATTTGCAAAACATTAATTTTCAAATGAATCTTGGTTGTTTACAGCAACATGAGTGACAGCGAATGCTAGTGATGTGATGTGGGCTTGACCAGTGATACATCGCACAAAGATAATTTACATTTACAATTTAATTTTAATTTTAATTTAATTTACAATTTCCTGTAAGATGCTTAAAGGGATAGTTCACCCAAAAATGAAAATTCATGCATCGACGACTGACACGGAAGAGAAGAAATTGTTGAATTAATTGTTATTTTTGTTTTCTTTCCGCACAAAAAGTATTCTCGTAGCTTCATAAAATTAAGGTGGAACCACTGATGTCACATGGACTATTTTAATGATGTCCTTACTACCTTTCTGAGCCTTGAACGTGTCTGTCTAAGCAGGGTCAGAAAGCTCTCGGATTTCACCCAAAATATCTTGATTTGTGTTGCGAAGATGAACGAAGGGTTTGAAACGACAAGAGGGTGAGTAATTAATGACAGAATTTTCGTTGTTGGATGAACTGTCCCTTTAAAGGGGTCATATGATGCGATTTCAATTTTTCCTTTCTCTTTGAAGTGTTACAAGCTCTTGGTCCAAGAAGATCTGAAAAGTTGCAAAGACTAAAGTCTCAAATCCAAAGAGATATAAAACTTTATAAAAGTTAAGAGTCAACCACGCCTACCTAAAACGGCT